TCAGCTAAATTACGAGCAACAATAATATTTGATATAAATTTCGTATCTTAATTTACAATAGGAGAAATAAAGACGCGCGTACACTTAACTAGCAAAGTGTAATGTTTGGGAAAAATAGAAATAATTTAAAAAATACACTAATAGGAAAGTTAGTCATTTTTTTTCCGCTAATTAATATTTCAACACCATTACTAATAATATAGATTAGATTACACTTTACGAACGATCTACGCTATATAAACAAATAGATATAAACAAACGCTTACACGTTAAGTGTACGCGGGTCTTTAATTTAAAAGTAATTTAATTTTAACTTAAACTCATCGGGATGTAAGTACTTATTAAAAATTCCAAATAAGATATATCAATAGCTTCTATAATTTCAGACTTTAAATTTGCTCTGCCGTTGTTCAAAATCGGTGGACCGTATTATATTATGCTTCATTTTAATATGTGATAAATGCAATAATACTAACAATGTCATATATTCAAAGTTTAAACGATTGTACGAATCGGTGATAACAATAGAGCGATGTATAGTCCACAAGTAAACATGCATATGTGGTATTTTCAGAATTTCTATAATAAGAACTTCCAATTAGTATGGATTCCAATTAGTGTGGATTTAGAAATATTGTAATTTTAAGCAAAAAAAAAAAATAACATGTCGAATATATAATAAAAAAAGAAAGAAATAAGGTCTAATTTTTAAAATGTTTGTTTTAGAGATAAGCGTGTTTACTTAGGGACCGTCTGAGGCGACACGAGCCGCACTTGAAGTCCTCGTGTAACTTTGTATTGCATTTGTGCTAAGGACGCCAAATGACGACATCGTATAAAAAACCTACAATAATTTACAAAATTCTCAGTAGATATCGTGATATGATTTTATATCTAGTCTGTACTTAGAAAAAATTATACAGCGTGTGTAAAATTTGTATCTTATAAAACTTCATGTATCCTAAAAGTAATTCGAAATACCCTCTTTTTATCATGATTTGGCTCACAATTTCATAGATCACGATACACCTATCACATTCGCGCAGTAACATTAAAATAAACAGCACCTATAGTTTGATATACGTAATAATATAATATAGAATAAAAAATATTTAAAATCATATATAAATCCAATGGAGACAAACTAAGCGTAGATACGATTACTATGCAATGGTCCATTTTGTTTGTAGTAATATAAAAAGTTCCAGTAAATATCACTATTTATTCCGATTTCATAACTAACGCTTCACAACGAGGACACGATGAGAAATTGACCGACAGCTTTTGCGCATTAAAAATTAGGAAAATTAAAAAAAAAACAACTTACTAATATAAAAAAAAAATACTTTCCTATGATAATAATAATTAAAAAAAACTGAAATTCATTGAAAATACTTTAAAAAATATGCATGTATGTATGTACTAAACTTTTTGTAAAATGATTTCGAATAAAAAAAAACATATTTTTTATGCGCAAAAACCACATCAACTCCTACCTATGACTAGTTAAAAAAACATAGCTTTGACAAAACCGTTCTAAAGCTCACCGATAGACAAACAAGATCGACTCGATATTTCGATCAATCATTCGATGGGTGGAAAAAAAATGTTTTTTAGATACATATATCGATCGAATGATTTTACGAAAAATCAATAAATTTACCATTCAAATGCGACTTTCATTCGGTCAGGGACGAACGAGTACCGACACAGGCGATATCATTCACTACATCACTATACTCACACACATACATTTGTACTACGCCAGTATACTACCCGCTATCGAGGCACGAAACATACGGACTAACTGATCGTATTAATAAAATATAAGAAAACTAAAAACTTTGTCTATATGATGTAAAACGGAATATTACAATGTTTTTCACTTATGAGTTTCCGATATTTCATAATTGTTGTGAGCATGGTCACGTATACACTAAAATTTTTGCGGAATTAAATATTGGATGGTATTTTTTTTATTATAATAATTATTGGTAGATATATCTATCTATGGACTATGGCTTGATCCCCTTCGTATTGAAGGCCTATCCCCAGCAGTGGCACGTTAAAAAGGGCTGAATACATATATCTCCTCTCTTTATACTCTACGCCCGTAACGAGCGTACAAAACGAATATCGAGAACTCAAAAAAATAAGTAAAAAACAATTAACATCACGTTTCACATCATAAAGACATTATCAGACCATGAAAGCTTTAAGACCAATACAACAAAACGTTGTCTCAACACTAAAATAGAACTATAAACTATAGCAAAATCTAGTCAAATCTATCAACAGTCCGTATGTTTCGTTCCCAAGAGGCCCTTCTGTCGAACGTCTCTAATTTCAAAACGAGCTAATCTACAAAATGCAATGTCGCGAGACACAACGACAGGAATACTGAAAAATACAATTTAAATTGCCTAAAACTAGTTGAATTTGTGAAAAAATCGTATTTAATGATGTCACGTACAATAGAAACTACTTAAACTAAAAATAATTCAGTTTAGTTCGACAACGACCGTAGAAGAGACGAGGAATTCGTAAACACTAAGCTACACTTACGTACACCGAATACCAAAAAACATTTGCATATGGGCATTTCATTTATTGCGTAAGACGTTCCTTTATTATTACCTAATATAAAGATAGATATTTATTAAATTTTCGCTTAATACAAATAAATAAAACCGCATATACAACAGAATATATCGACTGAACTTTGCAAAACTGCAAAAAAAAGACAAATAAAAATCTATTTTTTTATATCCTTACGTTATAATTGAAAAGCCCTAAATAGGTATATAATGTAAGGATTAGAAGTTTCTAGTCTCGCTGAGAAGTTTGTTTGGACACACGCGTCATTAACCTAAGAGCGTCGCCCGACTTTGTTCGTATCGCGGCACCGAACACCATCTAACATCACCGTACGAGCAATTCACACGACAATATATCGCATATTTACATTCCTAATTATAATATATATTAAAAAAAAGAAACATTATCTTATTCTATTTTTTTTTCAGATTAAAAATATTAGAAAAAAATCAGTTCAGTCATACTGATGAATTAAATTGACCTCTGTCGCTTTAATACAAAGTGAAGATCAACGTGAAATGGACTTTATAAAACTTGCAATATATTGATGTGTGAAATAAGCCTAACACACCATTTATTATCTACAACGACACGACTCGATTACTTGAACCATACAAGCCTAACACCGTAACACTAAGTTACAACTATTTTTCGTTTAACTCACACTGAACGGTAAGACAATTTAAAAAAAAATATGTCAAATCGAAATTGCCATAAATAAAAATATATAGTAAAACAGTGTTGCCAATATTGAAAAAAAAATTGTCTCACAGATCCCCATTCATATATCGAACTATTAGATTGCACGTCCAGTTCCAACCAACATTGCTAACATGCCCACTACCTAAATAATATACAGTGGAGGAATATTCTCACTAATTGTTAAATGGACGTTAGACTCTCAACACGAATTTGTGCTTTAATTAATTTGTATACACACAACTCCAAAACAATATCGAAACCTGATTAGAATTTCCATAGATTATAAAAAAAAATATTTCTAGTTACACTGAGTTTGACTCGTTATAGGCATAGACAAAATATCTAATTAAATAAATATTGTTTATGGTAGAAAAAGTGTTTGTTTTTGCATCAGGCTTCGACTGTATAGAATAAAATATCATTCCTCAACTGTATAATACCAATAAACTAAGCGTCTTTGCCGACAAAACAATTCTATTGAAAAAATATGATCATCTTTCAAATTTATACGAATTATTAGCACGGTCCGAAAGTACGACGAAACGTTCGTCTTATTAAATATAATTAATATATTTAATTGTGTTTCAAAAGGTCTAAGATTGCACAGATGACGTCACGAACTTAACTAAGCTAGTAGTGTTGCCAGGCGTGAAAAATGTCGAATGTTGTGATAAATTTTGTAGGATGATAAAAAATAGTATAAAAAAATCGATGTTGGAAAAAATATCAAAAACAAAAGCCAGTAATGTATAATATTTAATTTATTATTTTCCTAAATAATTTTTTTACCTGACAACACTACACATTATTGATAGTATATAAAAATTTCGAAATAATTCGAAACGGATTGAAATGAGCAATGTCCATACATTCTATTCTAACATTCGGTAGTCTTTCCACTGGACAGTCACATATAATTCTATTTTTTGTCAATAACTAAATTCAAACTTATCCAGTGAAAAGAGTACAATCTAATACATTACAGATTGAATTAAAATATTACTAAGGCAGTATTTAAACGAGATACGTGATTGTCTAGGAATTATAAATATTCACTAACTGTGTGTGTGTGTGATACTATAAGAATGTATACACCGATACATTCGTTTGCGCAATGACGTATCTCGTCGATCTTAAACTCTACCAACTTTTAGAACATCGTTTAGAATTTAAGACTATGTAATAACTTTGGGGCTATTATAAAAAATCAATTATAAAGGGACACGTTTGTTTAAAACAATGTTAATTCAAGACATGAATTAAAAATATTTATATCTAAAAGCATGAGCAGTTAAATTATCTATATAATAAATATTGAATAATAACCGAATTTAATTAGAATAACCAAGTTCCTAAACACAAACATGTCCCAACCGAAATTAACTTTGATTTCTAAAAGTTGGTAGCATCCGCCCTCACGTTGTGTTGAGGTGTTTACTATAATGTTGGATAAGTTGGCTGTCGCGGTTATCAAATTGGCCGACATGTTGGCCGTCAAGTTGACCGACAAATGGGCCTTGTTGACCAATAAGACTGTTGAGTTGGCCGACATACTGGTCCTGTTTGTCAAGTAGAATGTTGAGTGGGTTGTCAAGTTTCCCGACAGATCGGCCATATTGGTGGGGAAGGCCGTCATGTTTGTCGTGTTGGTGGTGTTGGTGTTGGTGGTGTTGGCGCAAGCGCTGGCGCGACGCGTGCTACCTACGCCCGATGAGACCGTTGCTGTTTGGGCTCGTTGTGGGAGACATCTCGAGCTCTACTAGCAGCGGGAAGTGATCTGTAAATTAATAATAGTAATGTTAATGAATAGAAAACTAACATTAGCTAACTAATACCTATCAGAGTTTTACTTTAAATGTTTTAAGCATTTTATCGATTGAACTTGCATTTTATTGATGGAAGAGCGTTTCTATAGTTTTGTTTGTCTGTTGGACGGATTTCAATGGACTTTTATATACACTTATATTATTTAAAAAAAAAAACAAAGTTTTTTATTTATTTTTTCTGTGTGTGAACTGTGAATGTACACAAGCTCCACCAGCACTAGACCCACCTGACGGTATGTGCGGGTGCGGACAGCCGACCACCTTGTGCTCGCGGAACCAGTCCTGCGAGAGCGGGCCCAGCAGCCCGAGCGGCGTCATCGACTGCTTGCTGTAGAATATGTAGTCGATGATGCCTTTGAAGTCGAACCTAGAATGTTAACATATTGATATTATTCTAACAACACAGTAACATTTACACATTTAGATATAATAATTTTAAATAAAACTATCTTTTCGGAATTTTTCGATCGTTGATTCCCATGGCCATGATTGCTGTAAATCATTCGAAACGTCGGGAACCAAAAATCAAAATAAATCCGCGAAAAAAAGCCGAAAAGAAGTTTTATTTAGAATGTCAAATATTCGCGTAAATTTTTGGTTCCCAACGATAAGATAGTATTACGTTTAGAACAATTCATTATTAAAAAAAATAGTAATTTATTTATTCAAATCCGCTTGCATTGTAAAATCGACATCGACAGAAAGAAGCCTTTTCTCAGCAAATAAGCTAAATATATCCATTTGAAATCAAATGGGTTCGAACATTTTTTTTATAGAAACTGGCATTAGCAACCTGTCGCCATTTATTTTTTATTTTAAAATAGCGGTATACCATGAAACTTGTATAAATAGATAAAGAACAGTTAAATTAATAAATAGTATCAGTAATATGGTGTTCGAAAGTATCACATTCCGAGATTCTTTTCAAATATAGGTCGATTTGTTGAGGATTATGGAAAGTATTTTTTGTACGCTATTGAAGGCTATAAAGTCTATAAACGTATTATAATGACTTCATTTTTAATGATTGTCATCGTTTTCATATGGTGTATTTCACCTTTAAACTCCTCGGAAACGTGAGACTTTATGGCAATATATGGCTAATATATAATTTTCTTTTTGTTTCTATTTATAAATAAAAATGGAGGAATGTTGAGAAAGTCACAAATGCTCTGTCCCTTTTACTCAAATTAAAATCATGATATAAATTAATTTAATATAACAACCCTCATTTTCTGAGAAAATTAAACAACAAGCATTATAAATACTTTTGTGAATTATATGTGTTTTTACATTACATTTTACATTATGAGTTACATATACATAATCAACTGTGGTGAGTTTTCTTATGTCATAGTGCTCTATATTTTTTTAATTATTTTTTTCTATTTAGTACATTTTTTCCTTATGGTAATATGTATTATTTTCGAACTTCCAAACTATCATTCAATGAATTTATTATATATTATATATGTATAACATCAGTAGTTAAAAATCCTGAGAATTTGTAGCTTCTTAGAGTAATTAAGTTGAACGGCTCTAAATAAAAGCGGCTTTAAAACTCTTTTACAACCATCATTTTATTAATAAAAAGTCATTAGTTTAATCCCATCCCATAAATATAAATTATAAATAAGAAAGTTAAGATGGATGTTTATTACTTAAACACGCCAGAAGGGCTTAAACGGATCTCGATCAAATTTGGCACACAGATAGATTATAGTCTGGAATTACATAGGTCACTTTTTATCCCGGAAAAATGTACGATTCCCGTGGGATAATTTCTTTTTGTTTTTCACTAGGGCGAACCGAGCGAAACGAGAGTGAAACGCTAATTGTAACAATAACAGCCATACCAATATTATAAGTGTAAAAATTTATTTATCTTTATTAATTAACTAGCAGAACCCGCGGCTTCGCTCGTGTTAAAACTACAAAAAATCATTAAAAAGGTAGTTTCATACAAACTTTCATCCCCTATTTTATGCCCTTATAGGATGACTTTCCAAAAATGCTGAAACACCTATTTATTTAATTTTATTAAGAGCATTAGTAAGTTTCAAGTTATTCTGATCATAAATATTTTTTTGGATTGTATTATAACGTGTTTTCCCGCGGTAAAAAAAGAAGCCTATGTCACTCTCCAGCCCTCCAACTATCTTCATACAAAACATCACGCCAATCCGTCACTCCGTTTCGACGTGAAAGAAGTACAAACAAACAAACACACTTTCACATTTATAATATTAGTATGTATGTATTTTTCCTTTGAACATTGATACTAGTACTTAGTAAAAATTAACATAGATAAGCCTCATTTACTATACCTTACAGATACTTAATAACTCACTCGAATTTGAAAAACACTAAACGTCTCTCTCTGAGGCAAAACAAACAACACTTACGTATAATTAGTATACGGCATTATATCTTCACTGTAGGCGGATGCAAGTTTGAAGTTATGGGTAAATTCGTGTTCAGAGCCGGGCATGCGTCTGAGGGACGTGGCGTAACCCAGCTCTTTGAAATCCCGATGCTCGGACGACACTCGCCCTGATGATAGGAACTCTACAACACCTGTAATACAAAATCGTATGAATAATAACATAATTATAATAATGATAATTCAAACTGTGAATATAGGTCGTTAGATAATTAGCTTAAGTGCTCATATATAAATAATTCTGTTTATAGTTGACATATGTTGTATATGAATAATTCATATATGTAATAAACTATTATAAAAAAAATGTAGCCGGCAGTGAGGCAGTAGAGGCTAAATGGTAACGCGCTCGCTTGGAAAACCGAGTGAAGTGGATACAAATCCCGGGTCTCGCATCTCTGATATTTTCATGTGCGAATATTTTCCAACACGATTACCACTTGTGAACGAAAACATCGTGAGGAAAGCATATCTGAGTGAACCTAGCAAGTTTTCGAGAGACATGTGAAGCCCGCCAATTCGCACTTGACCAGCGCGGTAGACTATGGCCTGCTCTTCTTGTTTTGAAGGCAGGTCATGCCCAGCAGTGGGACGTTAAAAAGGGCTGAACACAAAAAACTATGCATCTTTTATAGAAAGAGAGTAGAAATATTTATTAATAAATATGTTAGACGATTTATTATGTACAATCAGTAAATAGGTATTTTCACTTTCTCACTGTACCTATTAGCGTGAAGCTTATAATATTAATGATATGCCAAAAAAAAGGTTGCCATTATTAAAAAAACCTCGATAAAAATTCAAAATAACAAACCACTTACCACTATCGGGAAGAGAATTGAAATCTCCACACAATAAAAGTTGAATATTGTCTTTCTGTCCAGTTAGACGTAGAGTTCTAGCAGAATCATCCAAAATTGTCCTTAATTCGTTACTTAACATCATTGTCTGTATCAATTTCACATCACAAAACTCGGGATCCCAGTGTATGTGCGCTGTGCAGACTAATATAGGTTGCGCGAGAACCGCCGTTTCTGTTGGTACCCCTGGAAGTTGTTAGATTTGAGTTTTTAAATGTCTACGTAAATAAAAACAAAAAGTAAAACGCAAAGGAAAATATCAAAACATTTTTGAAACAGATATTTGACAACCTCAATGCTATTAGACCAATTGGAATCCGTTTATTTTTAAGAAAATATATATATATTGAAAACCTGAAGATTTATGATTTTAAAATGTTAGCAGGTATATAGGGAATAGAAATTCGTAAAATGCCCCATATGCCCAGCTACCCCCGAGAAATGGAGGGACGCAGAGCGTTGAAAAATTGTTTTTTTTTTTCAATTTCCGGCTTACTGTGAACCCTATCTAGAAATTAAACGTTTTTTTTTTAAATGTTAACTTGTCCACTTCAAGTTGGGAGTGATTTTCAGCCTAGCGAGACCATAAAACATACTTTTCTCGGAAATTACATTTACATTTCTCGGGGGTAGCTGGGCATATGGGGAATTTTACGAATTTCTATTCCCTATATACCTGCTAACATTTTAAAACCATAAAACTTCAGGTTTTCAATATTTTTTTCCAAAGCCGGATTCCGATCGGTCTAATATACTAATTTGGTGAAATTTATATATTAAATGAAAAAAAAAAGCTTTATCAAAGAAAAAAACAGGATTCAAAAGCTTGATTTGGAAAAATAAGCGGTTTAAAGTTTTAATAAGCTAAAAAAATATTTCATTAAATTTGCTCTAACAGTAAGCTGGAACAAAACCACACTACTGCTAGTTACAAATCTCGATATGATAAATAACGAATGCCAAAAGGGATTATTATAGAAAGAGCCATAATTTTTTTATCTATCTCCGGTAAATTAAAAACATAATAGGTATTAATAATTTAAACATCTTTTTATAACAACCGTTCATTTATATAGTATTATAGTAAAATTAAACGATACACACCGATTATAATTTTATCATTGCCTGTGCCGGAGAGCGGTAGGAAAAGAAAAAAATAATAATTCAAATCACTTGTTATTGCTTTAAATTAAACATAGTTAAAATAACCAGCAGTTAAAAATGTTTATTGCCAACGTACAAAGATGATAGTGCATTATTTATTTATATATGTACACTATAATCAATTACTAGCTATAAATGTGAATAGAAATTAATTTGCACATTTAATATTTATTTCTAAGATCTTGATTATTTCATTCATTCATCTTGCTATTATTATTTACAAAAAAATAACCAATCTATCCCACGGGAACCGTAAATTTTTCCGGGATAAAAAGTAACCTATGTGCTCTTCCAGACTATAATCTATCTTTGTGCCAAACATCCAGAACCGTTCAACCGTTCTGGCGTGAAAGAGTAACAAACATCCATACTCACAAACTTTCACATTTCTAATATTAATACGGATTACTAGGACTAATAGAAAACGTGGCATTTACACTATCGCAAAGAGAATATAACAATAATTCTTCTGTGCGTATCTAACTCAACTCCTCCTAAACGGCTGGACTGATTTTGATGAAATTTTTTGTATGTGTTTGAGTGGATGGCTCAATATTCACATTCACAACTATCCGGTAGGTGGAGCTGCAGTCAGGTTCTAGGAATTTTTTATTTTTATTACTAGCGGACACAACAGTCGCTGTCCTGTTCGAACATAGTATAAACAATTCTTCTGTGTGTAATTCACTCAACTCCTTCTAAACGAATGTAATATAACATTATTTCATCTTAATACATTAACAAGCTTAATAAAGATCAGGTGTCTCAATAAAAAGAAACGAGATAATCGTCCAAGTTATAATACACGTTAAAAAATGTTACATAATACGAAAACGAGTTTCGAAAGCAATTTAAGTACTCCTTTCCATTAAGCCATCGGTATCAATTAATTGATACTATAAGTTTTTGTATCGACTTTAATTACGTGTCGTATCGTCGATTTTTAATTAGTCTCTTTATGATGGTAATAATATGAGTAATTCAGACTAAGAAGTAATATAGAGAGTGTCATAAAACTAAACATGAAGTCAAACAACAATGTCTTAGAAAACAGTATACAAATATTAATTTGGCTCAGTTTTTAGTGACTCTACATGCTGTGCCAGCGGTCGCGGCTTCGAAATCCGTTGAGGGTATTCATTTGTGTGATTTATTTGTACTCCAGTCTTGAGTGTTTATATTTATAATATGTATATATTTAAAAGTTATATATGTGTATTGTTCCAACATTATAAGTATTTATTAATAGTTAATAAATAACAGTACCTAGTCTTTTTTTTCCATATTATCTTCTCATTGTAAATTAACGACTAATACCTACAATATAAAATTTGCCTTATTTTTTAAAGAACTAAACGCAACCATCTGTTTGCCAGAATCGAAAATAGTAGTATAAACAGCAAAATCACGTTACTATTTTCGACTTAGAAATTTTCTTTGGTGGACTCTGTCTGTACAATTCTTTAGTCTGAGATGAGCAATTAAATTCTGCGACAAAAAATGTTGCTTGGAAAAAGTTAATTAAATAATAAATTGAGAAATAATTGAACTGAAAATTGTTTTACACATAACGTTTATTGTTTTAAGGTTAAAAAACATTGATGATATAACGGGATTCGAACCCTCGACCTTTAGACTTTGATAAATAGTTTTCTTAAGCTAGGTTGATTAATGATAAGAAAAAGTTTTAATCATCATTGATTTATAAATAAATATAATTTTTATGTCCAATTGCGATGAAATATTGGCGAGTTTTTCTTACTAACAAGTTAAAAAGTACAAATACGCATACATGTATCAGAGTCATTTTAAGTGCACGTCACACTTAAAATGTGAAGCCAAAGTGAGCCTCTATTTTATCAATATTAATATTATAAAGAGGAAAGATTTGATTTTTTGTTTGTATGTTTGTTTAGTTGTACCGAATAAGCTTCGAAACTACTGGACTGATTTAGATAAAATTTGGTAAGAAGATAGTTTGACACCCATAAAAAAAACATTGGATAATTTTTATGCCGGAAACCATCCCTTAAAGGGATGAAAATGGAAATGGGAAAAAAATTGTATGGGGAATCAACCAGTTTCCAAATATAAAAGTTAATGTATTTGTCTTTTTGCCATGTAAATATGCATACTAAGTTATTCAGCTGATAGCTATTAGATAAAGAAATTTCAGTATGTATGTACACACACAGGTTTCTAAAATACCTACTATAAATAAAGTAAGATAAGTGAGACATGAAGACAAGTCCTATATAATTTAAATTAAATAAAAAATTTAATAATTTTTTTTTTTTAATATAACCGGGCGAATCCAGGCCGGGTTACTAGTACATTACAATCTTGTATATATAAAAGGAAACCGTCACTGACTGACTGACTATCTATATCTATATACATCAACGCATAGCTCAAACCGCTGAACGGATTGGCCAGAAATTTGGCACATAGATGGTTTAATACATAGTTGGACAGGCTAAGGAAGGATTTTAAAAAATCTATCCTCATCCCTTGAAGGGGTGAAACAGGGACTCAAAATTTGTATGGAGAAATCATAAACTTATCTGTATCAATTCGAAAACGAACTTAGCCGTGGGCAAAATCTATTTATTAATAATTTTTGACGACACGTTTGGCTCAGTTTGTAGTGACCCTACTTGCTGTGCCAACGGTCGCGGGTTCGAGTTCCGCTGGGGGCATTCATTTGTGTGATGACGAATGTTTGTACTCCAGTCATGGGTGTTTATATTAATAATATGTATGTAATTAAAGTTATATATGTATAGTGTATCAACTATTTGGTAACCAGATAACACAGGCCTCGTAGCTTACCATGGAACAAGATGGTGCTGTGTGTTAATGTCCCAACATATTTATTATTTTATTATTACTTATGGCTTTAATTGTTTTTATAGAAGGACCATTATTTAATTATAAAACACCTTACGGACTTTACAAAATTATAATTATTAAAAGGCTCGAGAGTTTTAACTAGATGTGGAATTTCTTTAAAATAAGAATAAATTTCCCGGTATCGAATAATATTTAACCTTTAACTACACGCTGTAATCAACAAGAAAAAAAATGAAAATTGTAATTTTTTTTTCAAAGTTTTACAACCAATTACAACAATAATTATTGTTTACTACTTTACAGCCTTAACGACAATTAGCAAGATACAATAAGTGTAGGATTTAACTTATCTCATAAACATGAACATGTATGTATATAATACTAGCAGAACCCGCGGCTTCGCTCGCGTTATAATTAAAAAAAAACTCTAAGAGGTAGGTTTCATACAAACTTTTATCCCCTATTTTTCTACCTTATGGGATGAATTTTGAAAAATGCTAAAACGCCTGTTTCTTTAATCGTATTCAAGAGCATTAATACCAAGTTTCAAGTAATTCTGATGTATTTTTTTTTGGTTGTATTATTACGTGTTTTTCCGTGGGAGTGAGATAATCCCCGGCGATAAAAAGTAACCTATGTCACTCTCCAGCCCTCCAACTATTTGCACACAAAAATTCACGCCAACCCGTCACTCCGTTTCGTCATGAAAGACAAAAAAACATACAAACAAACACACTTTCACATTTATAATATTAATATGGATTTCCTCTAAAGCAAAATGCTAGTGTTGTCCGAACTTCATATTTCCTGTACGGAATAAATGCTTCGTACCTCATACCTCAATCTCGTCTCGAACTTACGGCCTATCGTAAATGCCAACATATATCATAAAATTTTATACCTAAAGGCACACTAGTAGATTAAAGTAAATACATATTATATTATATGAAAAATAAAATACGAGCGACTAACCCTTCAGTCATACCTAAATCATATATTATTTTTTAAATTATTTTATCATTATTAATTATTTTGGTAACGCCTGTATTTCAGTTTAGCACCATTAAAATCGCTAGTAGATATAAATAAATAAATGCGTTGGGACAATAATATACAGCAACTAGATGTTGCATGGTAAGCTACGAGGCTTGTGTTATGGATACAAATAATATACACTACATTTATTATGATACACTACATTTATATGTATAACTTTAAATAACATGACTGATGATGATGAGTACAAACATTCGTGCTCATCATACAAATGAATGCCCCCAGCGGGATTCGAACCCGCGGCCGCTGGCACACAAGTAGGGTCACTAGAAACTGAGCAAGTAAGTAAATCTTTATATATATAATTCTTCTGTGAGTGTGTATGTCACTGAACTTCTCTCAAACGACTGGACCGATTTTGATGAAATTTTTTGTGTGTGTTCAAGGGGATCTGGGAATGGTTTAGATTCACAATTTGAATAATAATTTTCATCAAAAAAATTATTAAAAAAAGTTTAAAAGAAATTTTCAAATTAATGACGTGTAGACAGGACAACGTCTGTCGGGTCCGCTAGTATAGGTATATAACTGATTAAAACAAAATTCATTCTATATAATTTGGGCAATATTACCCAAGCCATAGAAACGTTACAGACAAACACTACATACAACAGATAACTATAGACAACTATTATATATGTTGTATAGAAAAATTTCTATACATAATATATAATAGGTATACTATTTAGTATATGGCAGACGTATAACATACCGTTTTCCCAGGCCGCTTCCTTTGTCTTAAGAAGTGCCGCTAAACCGATATTGTCTTTGGGCATGACGCGATTCAACATGTTGTCTGAACCTTCACTATTTGCCATCGCTAATTGGTTGAATTCAATAAGGTGTTCTTTTACTAATGAGAATCTGCAACAAATAAGATTACAGTTAACTTCTAATTCATCTATAATAATTATATAAAATTCTTTGCATGTATGTTTGTACGGATTTAACTAATAATCTACACAACAGATGTCAACGAAACTTTTTTTAAATATTTCTTACTAGCACTGCCCGCGGCTCTGCCCGCGTTCAGATGACCTAATACCAAATTCTTAGGTTTTACATATTAGTATACTCTTACATTGCAGTTTTTGTATTTTTTCTCAGAAATGAGACATTTTTCCGCGGTAAAAAGTATCCTATATGTTGATATAGTTGATGAGGATAACCAGCTCATCACCATACCAAATTTCATCAAAATCCCTCCAGTGGTTTTTCTGTGATGCGGTAACAGACAGACAGACAGACAGACAAAAAATCTAAATACTATAGATTCGGCCTCTGTACCGATATAATGTTTATATCAATAAGATTTTCCAAAAAATATTTAATGTACAGATTCGGCTTCGTTACAATTTTATTATATGTATATTAGATTAGATTAAGTGGGAGCAGCAGAGCTGTCTGTAATGCTGCCGGCAAACACGCGCGAACGGGTGTTATTTTATTTTATTTTTAACTAACCCTAGTCACAAAAATCGATGTATGCATGTGTTTTCCCTATAGACTCTAAAACGGCTGGAGTGATTTTCATGAAATTTGAGCGAGTTATCCTGTGAAGTTTAGTAGCGATCGGAAGTTAGAACGCGGGCGAAGCCGCGGGTATTGATAGTGTTAGTTTAAAGTCTCTTGTCTAATATTATTGATAACAATTTAAACCTGTAAATATTTGTAGAGAAATAAAAACTGTATAAACTTAACCTCTTATCTACTTAAATATTTAACTTGATATATCTTTTAATTTAAACGGAACCGTCCTTAGAATTGAAAAAGTAGGTATTCATTAAGCACTAACATTTGAATGGTTTAAACCCGTAAAGATGTCAGAATGTACATATATGTACATAGAAAATACAATCGATAGTAATTAACTGTAAGTAAAGCTTCGCCGACAAAAATAGCTTATTTATAAAATTGTTTTAATTTATCTTTAAAAAGAAAATTATTAAATTCTCAAATTACTTAATACATATATAACAATAATATAATCTTATAATTTTTGATTTTATGGTGAGAGATCAATGAGGATGATATTAGTTATGGTGAGTTATAGATAATCTTAACAATAGCAGCAAAAAATCATATTAATCCCGTTCTTACATAGTATTTAGATGTCTAAAACACATAACTCGTATGGAATATATAATTTCTGTCTGTACGTCCATCACAATTTTAACGGTACTTCGATAATATGATCATCTCTAAAACAGCTAGTTAAAACTAAATTGACCACAAACCCTGTATTTACAAAGCTGCTAATACATCATCATGATATGATCGCTCATCTATCGCAATTACCCAAGTTATTTATTATATTATAATATTAAACGTTACTATCGACGTCCTGCATAATTATAAAATATAAAAGTCTAGACTAGATCATGTTCGTAGGTAACATTTTGCAACCCAATGATAATTAATTCACGGAAACAATTTAACATGACATGACAGAAAGGTAGCTTATGTCTCTCTCTGACCCATAAAACTATGTCGATAGTTCAATGGGCGCCATATCTTAATCGATAACGTCTATCAGTTATTGTAAAAGAAGGACAAACCCACACATAAGTATAATATTACAGTAGTGACAAACTAAGCTAAGCTTTCCTGTTTACTATAATTTTATACCATGAATCATACATACATACATATATCTAGAACTAAAACACAATCACTTGCACAATTCATTTAAAACACATTATACAATAAGAAATATCCATTAGAAACTTACTTAGCAGATCTAAAAAATATCGCGCATCCGTCAACATATTTCCTTTCAGACTCCGACATAGTCTTTGCTCGGGACTTGGGAGAGAATATACCGTCATAACCATCAGACTTGAGCTCCGGCAGGAAGAAATTGTAGAACTGGTCCGTTTCCACTTCCTATTGAGTAAGGAACAAAAAATGTAATAACACTTAAATATGTACACACATATATTGTATAATGTATATACATTTATGGTAAAAACAATTTATACTGTGCGTAATGACCGACATGCAGCTTTAACTTAATATTAAAAATGAAAAAGACCGTCTTATCAAACAATCACAAAAAATGAGAAAAATATAATTTGTGAATAAAATACCGAGGTGCGATTTTAACTAATTTTATTAACTAAACTGCTTTGAGCAACTCGATATATTTTCATCATAATATAAAGATAAGAAAAATCTCGATCAAATTAGACTTGGAATAATAGAATCAGATTCTAAGAATTCGACTTATTAAATATTGGTGTAAATCATGTTGTTTACTGCTCATGCTGTACATGACTACGTGAGTTCGATTTTAACAGAATGTATGTTTGTTTTTGTTACAATTATGTAATAGATAAATGTAGAATAGCAGATGAATTAGGGGAAGACCTCAGAAGACTTTATTAAAAGAAGTCTGAAGGCCTCGACAAACGTGAAATATAAGGAGAATGAAGATATTGTAACTCTTGTTTGATTTCACTTTAAGAGTTGACGTTATGAACATACTCGTATGTATGTAACAGGTCTTTCAAAAAAAAATTATGTCTAAGAAAATTACTCTTCATAGTCCACTTTGAGCTGTAACTTTTTTTTTTTTTAGTTCTTTCTATACTGTAGTAATGTATTGTACAAAATAATATGAAAAGTGATTCATATAGGTACAAAGATTGTTATATTAAAATGTCTTTGTACAAACAAAGACATTTTAATACAACAATGTACGACAAAATAAAACGCAATATTATTCACATAATTAACAATGAAATAAGTTTCAAATTAGTAACAAGTACGTAATTGTGACATTGATGAATTAAGGTGAAAATAAGGTTAAAATACCGTACTTGTTATATTGAAATTTTAAATTATCTAAATACAAAGAGTGGCACAAATTCAGGATTGGGGACTTTGCCCCTAGCGGAGTGGGTGGTATTTCTGGATAAGGGACGTGATAGGGAGTCGAAATGTTAAATAAAAATTGTCCGCGAACGTATGAGTAAAAAGTTATTGAGACTTAAAGTTACAACATTTCCATACATTTTCATATATTTCTTTACCACCATTCGGAGTGGGTGGTATTTTTAGATAGGGGAGGTGACAGAGAGTCAAAATATATTAAAAATATTTGGAGGAAACGTACGAGTAAAAAGTTATTGAGACTTACAAGTTATAACATATCTAACACATTTCCATACATTTCTTTACCTAAATAAGTGATTACAACAGATAAACATACCTTTAACGAATAGTACGCATCCTTTTTTATGTACATTACACATTTTCACAACAATTAATGCTTTATTGTATTTAATATTTTAATAATTTCACAACACAAACAAAACGATCTTACATTTTGACAAAAGCAAAACTGACACTTTGTTTTATATTACCGCTTAAATGACAACAGATTATATTTGATTATTTTTGCTTTTTTCTGTTGGTAAAATATTAATATTAATAAATAAATAAATAAAAAGAAAAATATTATTTTCATTTCATAAATACATTTATGATTTTTTATCTGATTTATGTAAAATATATTGTTTTACAATTGTACATTTAGTAAAAAAAAAAACATTTTTTTATCTGTGAATATTTTTTTTCAGTATTATTGGCGGGTGTTCTTAAAATACCGCGAAGTTTCATAATTTGTGACTCTGTACTCTGTGTATTTTCCATTAGTTATTAGTTTTTGTTAATTTTTATATACTTTCGTTTCTTGTTTTTGTTTTAATATTATTTTTATAGTTTTAAGTGTTCATAGTGTTAGTGTAAACAATTTATAAACGTGAGTAGACTATTTTTAAAATCTAAATGTATTATTTACTTTGGTTTTTATTTTGCGACATCGTGGTTAGTTTAAGACATAGGTTATTTATTTATTATTCGTCATATCTTGGTTAGGTTTAGGTTAGATCATTTAAGATTATTTATTTATTATTCCTCATATCTGGGTTAGGTTAGGTTAGAACATTTAAGATTATTTATTTATTATTCCTCATATCTTGGTTAGGTTAGGTTAGAACAGTTGCCACAACGCACGAGCCGAGCGAGCGAAGCGAGCGTGCCGCGGTAGCGGCCGGCGAGTGCCATAAATGACTAGAAAACTAGAAAATTCGAATTTCACGCAAAGTACAAATAAAGACAATCATCTGGAGATTATTTTGACAATTGAAAGTGACGTTTTGACTCCAAGTGTCTAAATGGTAGTAATGTCAAAATAATGTATGGAAATGTTGTAACTTTAAGTCTCAATAAATTTTTACTCATATGTTCGCGGACAATTTTTATTTAACATTTCGACTTCCTATCACGTCCCTTATCCAGAAATACCACCCACTCCGCTAGGGGCAGAGTCCCCAATCCTAAATCGCAGCCCAAAGAGTTTTTAAAATCAAAATCTGTATATAAAATTTTAATTGAAATATAATTTGCATTACTGAATTTAAAATAAGCTAATGATTTTAAATAAGTAGCAGCAGACTAATATATCAAGGAAACCTCTTGATGTACCGGGTAAAAAAACATTAGCCTTATGCCACCCAAAAAAGCACACGAAACACACTAAAGCAAAATAGTTAAAACAAGAATATTCTATATATATATAAAATCTATATAAAAAATATATTTTGATTTGAAAGTATCAAACCACACCGACCTGTAAACTGATGATATCCGCAGCGTAATGCCTGATCTCGTCTAGTATACCCTTCTTCCTGTAGTCCCATTCTAACGCCCAGCTCGGGCAATAGCCGTACATCTGTCTCGTTGCATATTTGTCGCATAACACATTGTAACACATCACTGTGAATATACCTATAGGAACAAACAAAAACGAAAATTGTTATCATTAATTAGGATTTATCATACAAACATATTACTGACAGTGGTTTAGGTACTTTTGGCTGATTTGTTTCGACTAAGCCCCAAAAGTGTGTCACAGCCAAATATTATTTTGGTAGTTTTATTAATACGGTCATTTGCATACTATATTTATTAAATAAAAGTTAAGAGCTAGAATTTGTATAACAACAAGTCCTATTCAAAAATCCCCTAACTCACCTAATTGGTTTAATCCAGATAAAGTACGTTAGGTGCTTTAACGTTTCACTTTAATGCTTACTGAATGTTTTTGCTAAAACTCGTCGAAATTAATCTTCAGGTCACGTTTCAACGAGCAAAATGAATTCTTAGTAAAAAAGCGATTAAAGCTGCTTTAGTCTCGACCAATTATGGGTCCAGCACATGGCATGACAACAATAACAGCACTAATTAAAATGGCTCCAATACTATGCTCCACATACGATATAGACAGACCGTGGCGAGGCACGCGACAACGCTTTTGTTTTTCGTACTACATAACCATGTACAAACAATATCTACAAAAATGGCCCTAGCCCAAGTTGCCTTAATAATCATACCTTTATGCATCTATTGGCGGACTGTGGAGTTAGCGTACAAAATGAACCGTTTAGCTGCAGGTTTAACAACCGCGTTAAGTATCCTCGAACACCCTCGAGCTAGTATTTTCATGTCTATTATATACAATGTTGAACGAGGTAAATACGTGAACGTCTGGAAACATAATCGATTGGAATCGAGTAATGACTATATTCGTAATCGATTTCATTACTACAAGGAATAAATACTGTAAACTTTGCTACTAAACATATTACGTACGTATACCTATAAACATACGAGTATACGTACTACGGTACGTAAATACGTAGTAGAAAGGACAAATGTCCTTTCTGTATTTCTGGTTGAACTTGATATAAAAGTATTTAATGGGTAATTGAAGCCAAAATTTTAACGTGAATGAAAACGTTCAGCGAAATGATCATCTGAAGGCGTTGCCAAGACAAATTGATAGCCATCATGATGCACCTCATTCATGCTAATCGTCACCAAGTCGTCACCTGGCGACACACGGCTGCGATCAATACGGCCGCAGCACGTGCTCCAGCCACGTCCATTGTATGCCCGATGAGACGGCACGCGCATGCCAAACGTAGCGAAACAATGTGCGCATCGATAATCATTTTAGCTGAGAAGTAACAAAATAACAAGCGATGTTTAGACATATAGCAAACTATTATTTTTTGGTAAAATCGCTATTGTTAAAAATAGCATCTAAAGTAGAACAGATATCCTAATATCTGGACTTAAAAATGTAAAGAGCAAAAAGTAAAAATTTAAAGGAAAAAGATAACCTACTAAGATATGTATGGTCGACCGAACCAAAACCTCTTTAGGCATAATGGCTCTAGTTTTGCGATACTCACGCTTCACGTTAAAACAAACATTATACTCTTTTATTTTAGGTATCTTCCAATGCTCTTTAGACAATGAATTGATACCGTTACAACAAGCGGTCACGCTCGTGTAATGATTTTCAATATCAATATTATTCGTGAGCGATCAAATACAGTTTTTTACAGACTCAATAAGACTCATTAAAAGCGTTTTAGTCGATTGAAGATTTCCATTTGGATTGGCAATGCAAAGATCTCATTAGAGCGGGTTCGTACTTCGGTCATAGACCGGTGAGATCGTCAATATGACGTAAGAAGACTCAATAGGTGCTAACAAGACGTAGTTAGTGGGTGTCGAGATACGAGCTGCCTGCTGTTGCTGACCGCTCTCTATTGATTTCACCTTCAGCTAATGGAGTCGTATCATGCAATTTTCTTGACTACTAATTGGAACATCAACTACAATGTAATTTAAATGCGACTGGACAGTGTTTTTGTAGTAATCAATCATTCAAAATAACAAAAAACAATGATACTGGAAGGTCGATACAACAAAAATATTTTTATATTCATACCACCATGACGCATAACATGAAGGCGTCTATAAATAGTTCAAACTATTGAACATAAGCATTTGCGTAATAAAAGATGCAAAACGTGTCTTTTTATCATTTTTAAATGCATTTATTGAGGACACATATGGTGGAAGTTTGTGAGAACTTGCACATGTTGTTTTTTCCCCAATATTATTAGATAATAAGCTAATTCTTTTGTTATATATTTTGTTATTTTATAATATTTTTGTTTCTTTCTTTTTGAAGTAGATATTATTTTTTTCATATTCGTACATGCGAAGATATGTAGAATCAAAACAAATATGTCCCGGCTCGCCGACTTGTCTCATATGAATATAATGGAAGGAGGCGCGAGCCGTCTATCGGCTGTGTCATTACATGGACATTTTGTATGTCGCTTGCTCAAATGAATTTATTTACATGCAGTGCTTCAATAACAAGCATTATTTAATTAGTAGTATTGTTATTTAGTAAGTACTATTATTTCGTTATTTTTATATGTAAAAGTTTGTGGTAGTAGCCCTAATAATTGAATAACGTGTGCGGTGTTTTATGTATAATATCAAACAGTCCATTTTTTATAAAATAATGAACCGAATCGAGACGTATGTCAAATCAAAGCATTATAATATTCAATAGATAGTGAATCGTTCAAAATACAATTAAAACATACAAATCGATCGAGTTCATGGATGCGAGGTCGCAGCCAATGTCTCGCATTGTTCATTGTTCCTAAACTGCGGAGGGCATTTCCTCTCTTCCTGAGCCATCTGACCGTGAGCTTGATTGAATGCAATTGTATAGCCGTATAACAAAAAAGGGATATCGTTTAGTGGTTATCAATCCAATTTGTGCCGATCATGCGTATCAGTTCATGCTAAGGGAAAAGTTCTCGACAAAGGTTGCAAATACTAGAATTAAGTTATGTTATTTAGGCATTGTGACAACGAACATGCCTTATGATTATGAGGAGGTAGCAAAAGTTCTACACTCTAAAAATAAATATGAATAGTCTGAGCACCAATACAATGACAGTATTTCGAAATATTTCTAAATATCACAGCTATGTTAAAAACAATAATATTATGGAACACCCACGAATATTTGACTTTTCATATCTAATTGGCTTCCCCATCGAAATATAAATATAAGCAAGAAGAGTTTTAAACATTAAATTAATATACTTGTCAAAATCTTACATTCAACGCACACACCAGAATGTCCAGAAATCATTCCAATTACGTAATCAGATACTCGTGGACCAAAATGATGGTTGTCACGTTAAAATTTGATCATGTTGCGCAGTATCAAATAATTTATCTTAGTTTGGAACGTATTGACCTTCTGACATTCTACGTCCTTGTACCAAATAATTTTGTTTTGAAGATAATTAAATTAACTTCTGAATTGTACTTCCGAAGTATATTTAGAACGGACTGGTATGAAATTTAGTTTTTGAGGACAAATAGTTACAAAATATGTATTAATGTGGTGAAAGAAATATTGAGTTATACAAGTCCTTTCCTAATGCATACTCATATAAAGTATTTCGTTTGAGTTATTATATAATTATTACCTATACAAATAATAAAACTGTAGAGGTCGAATGTCTGTACATAGAAAAACAATTCTAAAAACCGAGTCAGGGGGATATAAGAAGACAAAATAAATCCAGATTTTTTTCAAATTATTGTTTCTCTGTCTGTTTATCTGTTTGTACAGGCTAATCTCCAAGTCTATTGGACCGATTTAAATGAAATTCTGCATGGTGGTATCTTATATCCCCGGGCAACATCTTAGATACTTTTCACCCCCGAAAATTAAAGAGTTTCCGTGGGATAGTTAACAGACTATAATAACTTATACAGCTTAGTACACAAAAATTGCAGATTGGATTTTAATGAAACTTTACAATAATATAGTTCATACATGACAATAACAAATCGGCTACTTTTCATCCAGGAGAATTAAAGAGTTCCCGTGGGATAGTCAAAAAAATATAGTAACTTATACAGCTTAGTACACCATGAAAAATGTTCCAAACAAGTTGGGAGGCATTTTTAAGAAAATGTTGCAAATGGTCACCAAATTTGAAGCGCTAAGAATATTTTTGATGGTGTGTAATAAATGCTATGCTAGCAGTCTTATAAATCATCTAATTACTACCCAAGTATTATATATAAAAATCAGCTTTTATACTATAACGTAAGTATAATGATGATTTCATGAAAAAGGTGTCTGGCAAGGGTTTGCCACGATGTTAAGTGTCTGGCATGGAATGACGTGATTTTTATTAATATTCTGAAGGTAATACCAAAAAATCACACTTTATTATTTGACGAATTTAGATCGGTATTTTACACACCTTTAGTACCGTGTACCTGCCAAAGCCACCATAGCCTGAACTTCATAATGGTCCATCGTTCTTATCTGTGTTGGGTGCATGAGCTGACAAACTTTCAGCTTTTATAAAATGACGAAGGTCTGGCGTTCACAGGCTCTTAGGCCATAAAAAAATACGTGTTTTAGAATTTTTCGAAATTCATCCTATAAGGAGGTAAAATAGGGGATGAAAGTATGTATGTATGAAACTATCTTTTTAGAGATTTTTTGTAGTTTTAGCGCAAGCGAAGCCGCGGGTTCTGCTAGTATTAGATAATTAAAACAATGTACAAATAACGTAATAACCGGCAAAGTTTATATTTAATTGTTAGGTGCGAGTGACTTGAATAAATTATATAAAAAAGGCTTGACAGTTAAAATAAAAACAATAATAAACGCACTAAAAAAATCAAAAGAGATTGTAACCATAAAGTTTTGACTTGGTTACTAATTTCCTAATACATTTCATGCTAACATCAAGTCATGTCCAAGTACAAATCCAATCATCACCTTCTCCCTGCCCATTTCCCAATCACTTGGGTTCGGCGCAGTACATTCTCCGTACTGCTGATAGGATTTGGCCAAAGTTTTAACGACCGGCCCCAACCCGCTTTGGGAATCAACAATCAAGTCATGCGTCCAATACTTGGGAGTTAAAACAACTTTTACGCGTATTATAAATAAGACAGTTTAAAAAATCTACTAGATCTATTGGAAAAGCAAATTTGGCCTCGTTTAGAAAAGAAAAAAATTTCTAATAATAACAAAAATCTAAAATTGAGATTCATGGGCTATATATCTAATAAGTATGTATGTTCTTATATTCTTCGACATTAAAGGTAAGAATGGAACAAAGATAGCAAATGATCATTCGATTTGCACGATCGATCCTCATCTTTGATTCATGTAAATTTTCTGTTCAACTTCTAACGTAAATATTTGTGTATTTTGTTATATGAAAGATTCGTGGTTTTATCTGTACCATAGACAAGGCAATACAATTCTTTACTTTCATATCTATCACTAATAAAAAAAAACAAATGGCTAGCTTGTCTGTTAAATACTTACAAACATAAAAATAGGTACCATAAAATATAATAATTCAATAATGATCATGAAATTTTTCAGTAATGGGGAAAAGAGGTAAGAGGATAATCATTAAGATTTTTTTAGAAATGCTCCACTAGAGATATAGACTTAAACTAGCTAAAAAAAGAAAAAAGGTACTATACATTATCTTGAGTAGAACTTTGAAGATATCTTCGGACTGATATTTAAGAGCCAACTCTAGTCCGAAACAGTACGTATCAATTTAAATAAAGTTGTCGAGAATTGGACACAACCGCCAGGCAAGCTGGCGAAGTAGGCAGTATATTGGAGCTGAATTATTGCAATGATGGGCAAAGTTACGATCAGGATTCCGCCCATACATGCAATACTGCGGAGCGTTTGCGAGGATACCTTTCTCGTGTGGAGGTTCGAGTACAGGGCGGTCCAAGGGTTATTTATGGGAAGCTACATGTGCCGCGCCCATGCGTGCCACTATGACACATAATTAATGATAGGACTTGTATGCGATCATTCTATTAACGCTTTTTAATAACATTTTCTGTTTTATTCATCATTAACTTGTAGATAAATGAAACCGGCTGTGAGACATGTTGATTATTGCGCGTGCATGATTTTTTGCAGCTTTAATAAGAAAATTATGTATTGCTCATGTAATCGCTTCTATTTTTCTTAGGTTATCAGCGAGAATCGTTTATAATACACCTACTTACTATTAGTTAATGTTTATATGAACATGTTGTATTTATAATACTTCAAAAAAATATTATTAAATGGCCTCTTTTTTATAAATAAGCAAAATTTGTGTACACAAAAAATGAAATACGGTTCGGTTAACATATTCATATACAAATTGACTTTTAACTATAAACATTGGTACAATTCAATGAAACTTTGTTCCGAACTGGTTTTATTTTTAAAACATGGCATTGACACACATCGTTAAGGATGTCCACAATAAGAAGTGGATGTACTTACATGATGGACGAGTCCTATTTGGTCGCGTCAAGGGTATCCAAGGCCTCTGTGGTGGTTGGGTGGCAGTAACTGAAACAGAATAATATTATTAATAAAATGAGAAAATAATACTTTCTTAGATTTACGCGAATATTTGACATTTTAAATAAAACTATCTTTTCGGATTATTTCGCGGATTTATTTAGATTTTTGGTTCCCGACGTTTCGAATGCTTTACAGCAATCATGGTCACGTGAGAGACTGAGGTGTTAGATGTCTCGAAGGTATAGTTGTTATAGACAGCCTACCCACAAATAACAATACAATAACAAATAGCTTCAATTGAATCAATAAAGTTATATATTAAAATAAAATTTAAGATCTTTTTTTCTATTGAAATATGCCCCTCGATACTATCTAGGGACTATTTTGGGTAAGATGAAAATAAAATAGAGAGTTCGTACAAGATAGAATTCTGTTCTTATTATTACAAACTGCTTGAAATTAATTGCAAATGTCGACTTAGCAACAATTTCTCCGAACAGCGGCTGGATTTGTTTCCATTAATCGAGTATCTCAACTTTCGAGAAGCAAAAAATTTATTTGCGATCGCAAAAAGCTACCGTTATTGTAACGAAATGGTAAATCGTGCGTCTGTATTCTTAAAAACTGATTCGCAATCATCTCATTCGCAATAATATTGTAATTTCATATTTCGGTTGGCAAAAAGTTTAATCGCATGCTAAATCATCCATGTTTGGTCTTGTCCTCCATAAAAAGTTATATACTTCGTTCTATTCAAAGCAAAGCAATATCTGTGAAATTAATCGAAATATTGTCAAATGTCCCATGGACCATGGTTAAATATCTCATCTAGCCAAACGAACGGTATATAAAGCTTTTAAAGAATCATCTTCAATAAAAAAATATAAAGGTAAAGATAAGTTTTGATTGTTTCAACAACGTGACAGTATTGAATCTTGATTCAGATATCGAGTACAAAAACCTGTCGTATCTTTTTGTAGATAGCAACTTTTCGTTGTGATGATTCCATGACCCCATTATCAAGTATTTCTTAATATTATCTTAGGTATTGAAAAATGTATATGGTTGTGTTACTTTTATATTGCGTTTAAAAGCTGACTTTACCAATGTCAAGAAAACAGACGTAAACGTTCAAAGGAAATCTGAAGCTAAGTGAAATCACTTAATAAAGTGTTGTCGTTTTGGAGACATCGGCTGTGATGCGAGGACATTAGACGCAGACGTTCCATTTGTACCAGCTGCCAGTATTCCCACAAAGTTATGGTGGAAAAAGACCAACATAACTCATATCAATTTATCTCGCTCTCTTTTAAAACTAAAATAGAAAAGGTAATATTCTTGAAAGGATATTATATTTCGAATAATATAATTGTAACAAACTTATAAGAAAAACTGAAACTTGTCCTTTAACGGAGCGGTAACGTCGAACAATTACATTATTCGAGTGACTCTACGTCAGATATCAAAGCCATAATTTAAATATAAACTTTAAAGCTAGTACCTTTTTTTATGCCTGTTACCAAGTTCCTTGTTAAGCGTCTTATCTTAGAATCTGATTGCTTGAATCAAATTAGAGATAAGCATTAGTTGGCTGTAGCCAGCGACTTAAAATATGAACTGTGGTTTTGTTAGAAACATTTAAGTCGCATGTTTTCGTGGGTGTACAGCGGATCATGTCGCATTTATATCGTCCGCGTCGGTTTAAATTTGAATTTTATCTAAAGGTGCATCCAGATAGGCTCGCGCTCGACTCGTATATAAATTATTGTTTTCTTTATTTAATACGCTTAATATATATAAAACAATAATAGTGTAATTTTATAGAATATTACACAATTATTAATTATTCGGTTTTTAAATCCAAGATAAATAAATATAATATAATGATTAATGACGTTATAGTGAGTTAGAAATTTCTCGGGATATTTCTTTCAACCAATGGATTTATCAACAAAACTTGTATTTGCAATGCTGTCTAAATAAATGAAAGCGTGTTGAGAACAACAATATTTCGATGTCAGTAAGATAGCACTCTTAGAGCTTTCTGTCATCGGTTCGGCAAAGGCGCGGCGGGCGCAGGCGTCATCTCATTACACTTTGTAATTAGGTCCGTGGGCTGTGAGCCCCTGCACTAAATCACGACAAGCTTAACATGCGTGACCGCCGTCTCCCGAACGGTCATAACTCGTAACACAATACACGCTTATGGATGTGTTATTGAATATTAAAAGCTAAAAAAGCTCCGTCTCCCGTCTGATGTATGTCCTTTTTACATTTTGTAAACAATACTGAAGTTAACGGTCGTTCACGTGTGCATATATTTATTATTTATGTTATTATAGGCTTTTCTCAGCAGAAATGCATTCCGAGCTGGTGGAAACTTCCTCACGACCTGACTACACCGACTTTCATTAAATAATGTTGACAATTCAAAAGTGCTTGTAAAAGTCTTATTGAACAAAGTAAATTTTGAATTTGGTATTGTATGTTGTTATTAATTGCTGAAACTTTCTCGATGAAACTATTTTGTGACGGTGCGCTAACAAGATGTGTGCAAACATGGTGGTGTTATAGACAACACACAGTCGAGTGAAAGTCGAATGAGCACTAGATGGGCCGAAGTTGATAAACACTGGCATGCTCTTCGCATTGTTCGCGCTCCGATACGTAAGATAAGGCTTTCTCCGTTCGTCTCTCGAGAGCTACCGTGAGAACAGTTTGTTATGGAGTCGACAGTCGCAAAATAGATGAATTTCTTATCAGATTTGCAAACTTTTAAACAAAACGACCGGTCTTTGAGGTCACTGGAAGTTTTAAACAATGTTTTTATCTTTGGATAATAAACCAAATTTTGTACCTACCTAGCCACATATGAATAAAAGTATCTCTCGCTCTAAATAAAACTAAATTCTAAAAAACGACTTGGTAGGATCATATCTAGTTCAGAGCTATTTAATACTAATATGTTTTAAGGCAAAAGTGTTTAAAGAAGAAACATTCACCTCATTTATATATAAGTTGGGGTTAATCAAATAAATGCAAACATTTTGAGCCGTGGCTTTTGCCAGACGTCGGGGAGCCGATTGAGCGTAAACCGGTATTATCGGTTGCATCACACTCTAAAGTAAAAACTTTACGAGCCCGTTTCTGCACACTCTTTTAATAGTGTAAGAAATCAGATTTATGATCGGGGGCGATATAACGGAGACTTATCTAGTCGGGATAATGAATAAAATCAATGCGGCTTTATATAGCTTTTTGTTTTGCCAGCGGGCGGCATGATATACATATCTCAATTTATGGCGTAGAGAAGAATATTCATATAAAATAAATTATAATGCATACAGTTATTGATGATACGTATGACGGCGTAATACTATACTAATGTTTTTAATTGATTGGAAATAAATTGAACGTCGCGTCGTAAGTAAATTGGATGTGAGAATGTTCGATGTTAAGAACCTGTATGTAATCTAAGGCTATTTTATCACAAAGTGTAATTTATACGTGGGTAGAAGCACACGAGTTTATAATTGGGTTGAAGCGGTCGCCGCTGTCAACGTCTGTCCGACAACAGATAGCCTATGTCCTACTCCATTTGAGTCCAAAGCTATTTTAAAGGCACCACGAGCGCATACCGAGCTGCATTGTTCTGCGTGCAACGACTATTTAACTCTACTAAACACTCGAATCTGATCATTTTTATGAAAATGCCGCATCCATTACCATTTTTGCATTACAAATACGCAATGTCAACCGACGCGTGCAGAATTTATATATTTCAATAAATGTCAAGTAGGAAATTTATTATTTTATGTTATCCGCAACATAAATAAATGGTAGAAATATTATTTATATTATAATTTTTATTCACATGATATGCATGTGTTAAATAAAATTATGCATTAACACTCGAAGTAATTCAACATGGATTCGTTACATCGCGGATCAATGACCTGGCATAACTAATTTGTTGATTAAACACAGTCTAGGCAAGACATTACTTGTGTATCTGTCTGTATATGGAATGATTTTGCGGTTTCACTTGAGAGGTGTTAATTAAAACATATTCAGAAATAAACACTATCCAGATTAACTTTTATTACAAGTTTTATTTAATAATTTTGTTCGAACGTTCTCGGGACGACGACCGCGGCGATCTTATCTCAAAACACCGAATTACTAAATGAGTTATTTTAGCAAAATAAGCATGATGTAACTCTGTAATCATATTGACGTCATACCTTACATGTTCGGTTATTGTAATGAAATTTCATTTAAAAGACCACGTATGGAGAGTTGTTTCATATTTAAATTGCATTTTGGCTTATGTTCGTTTATTTTTCGAAAGCAAAATAAACGCGTTCGAAGAATTATTCAAATAATATTTCATTAAAATACAATTTCGTCTCGAACATTCACTAATAATAAGTATTCATAGGAAATGAAATATGTGTTTTAAACAGATTCTGTACATCCAGCATCTGCATCTTTTATCACGGATGTCAGGACGAAAGTAAAACAAGTCTTTATAGAGGCGCCCATAAACATTATGGATGGGTTATTTAGTCGAGGTAATAAACCACATTAGTAAAACGTAATAAATATATGCGTGTGCAATAATTTCCAAGGACAAGACTTGTATAACGAAGCGTGAAATTGCCGCTGGAAAGGAAAGATTACAACGTACCTACTAACAATAGTCAATAAACATCGAATAAATTGAGAATTTTTGGACTAGAGGTAGGTAATAAGCACAACATACTCTTAGTGGGAATATTTAATAAAGGAGAATATAATAGTAACGTGTATAATATATACTAGCGATTCATTCTCGTTTCACTTAGATTCGTCTCTAGGTGATTTTTTTAAATGGATATTGTTTATGAACCGATTGAAATAAAACAAATACTAAATGTTAAATAAAGCTTACCACAATACTTTAGTGAAAACCGAACTCAAATCGGTTAAGCCGTGTCTGAGATTAGCGTGCACAAAGACAAACGCACAGACAAACAGACAAAAATTCTAAAAAATATTGTTTTGGGTTCTATTACCAATAAGTTTTTCTCGAATATCTTCCATGTAGAGACAGCTACCAGTTACACTTTTATTATATGTATAGATTTAAAGGGATTTATTTATATTATTAAAATACATATGTGTATGTACTACCGTATATTTCCAAAGCTTAGCTTAGATAGAAACATTTTTACTATCGCATATAGGCAAGTTACCTTATTCCTAAACAACTTCCTTTTCCCTATATGTTACTTGAGACTTCTTTAAAACAAATGATTTTAAGAGATTAACTCCTATTGTAGACATCGATTTCATTACAAATGCCTTGTTTTTACAGCTATAAAAGGGGTATAAAGAACACGACGCTTTATTTAACAAGTCTTTAACTAAAAACTAAAACGCATGCAATATTCTGCGAATCTTGACGTAAACTAGTTGAGGACGGTTACAGCGAAAGTTTAGATGCAATTGACCTTAATGGACATCGGGATTAGAGTGTCCTATAAAACGGTAACTGCCAATACTAGAACGAAGGTTTTGATATTTCAGAAGTTAAAACATTTTATTGGTAACTGTTGAAAAGCTTTAAAGTAAATTTGTTCTTTGTTATCGTATTTACTTGTTATTATGAAATCAATGGTCTCATGCGCAACTAAAGCATCAGCTTTTGATTAAATTCAAAATCCTTGGTATTTTAAGCGATACACTTATATAGGTATTTGTCAAAAACTCTGCGAACAGTTCGGAAAAAATGTTCCTTAATCCTGAGAATAACTGCCAAAAGAAACTCAGCGGGACAGTAGATTTTCTTCTTATTTTTCTATATTGTACCTATAGATAAAATAAAATTCTAACCGAGTCGAATCTGTACATAAATTTTTTTTTTTGGAAAATCTTATTGAAATAGTCATTATTATCGATACAGAGGCCGAACATATAGTTTTTTTTTATATTTTTGTCTGTCTGTCTGTCTGGGAATGGATCATGAGAAAACCAATGGACAGATTTTGATGAAATTTAGTATGATGATAGCTGGTTATCCGAGTCAACATATAGGATACTTTTTATTGCGGAAAAATATCTCTTCTCTGAGAAATCTATACTAAAAGTTAAAACGTAACCAGGGACGAAACCGAGCGGCCTAATAAATTTTGTTAACATCTATTGTACATTACTATAGTCTTAAAATATATAAAAACGTGAAAACACATCCAAATGCTTATCAACATGATAATAGTGTAATCGATCATACGTCAGTACCTAATTATTCTTCGTGAGGTCGGCGGAGCGTGCGACAGTCACGAACTTTTACTATAATTACTCTGGGAATGACGTCAGTATTACTTCACTATAGATTTTGGGTGACGCTCAAAATAACTTCGATGGTGGACACTCGTAGTCAAGTCGATAAGCTCTAACGATCGCAGCGGGGGTGTGTCTTAAATGTTGTTACTAACGCCATCAAATACAACTTATATTTATAGAATACAAACCTAGATTTAATCTGCTACTCGTTAGTGCAAAACTAAATGAACAATTAAGGAATATTATCAAGCTTTTACTAAACTGGTTATTTACAACGACGTCAAAAATAAAATAAACAAGCAAAAAGGCGATTTAGCAAAAACTCGTGTATCTTTTTGGGAATGACAAAAAACATAATGTTTTACCATCTCGAAATTAGTGATCATCTCCATATCTTGCGCATACACGTATATTTGTACAATATAAATTATACATATATTTGCGCACGCTGTGTCCTCCGCGCGACCGTTCACGGCCAAGGCCACGCAGATAATAAACGTGTTATGATGAACGACGTGCTACTGAACAAAAAATCTAAGCGCGCTTGACCCACGTGCCCACGTGAATCTTTACGAGCCTCTCAAGCTGGCTCTACACTATGAGATGTACTATATTATATAAAACATAGCTTTTGTAATGTTTCAATTAATTTGAATTTATTTAAACTATAAGTATTTTTTACTTAACCAAACCATTTTTCCAAATTTGACACCTCGTTGTTAAGACGCAGATCGCAAATAAGCTGATCAAAAACATATAGGTATATCGACGACACGCTTGGCTCAGTTTGTAGTGACCCTACTTGCTGCGCCAGCGGTCGCGGGTTCGAGTCCCGCTGGGGGCACTCATTTGTGTGATGAGCACGAATGTTTGTACTCCAGTCATGGGTGTTTATATTTATAATATGTATGTATTTAAAGTTATATATGTTTAATGTATCAACTATCCGGTATCCATAACACAAGCCTCGTAGCTTACCATGGAACTAGATGGTGTTGTGTGTTAATGTCCTGACATATAAAAAAAAAACAATATGAGGTTAATGACATATATGCCTTGCAATCCGTAATTAAAGTCGAGCTTTATTTCATGACTTGGAACATTACAATATTACCGACAAACTTGTAGCTATTGTAGAAAACAGTTGCGTGACAAAAACCTAGTTTGTTAAAAAGTATTCACAGATACCGAATCTAAATTGACGCGGAAATCGGATATAATAACGTGTAGGATTTCCGGTAACATCCGCAGTAATATTTTTCTCTATACCTATGACAATAAAATATTGTAATTTCGATGATTAAACTATACTTCATATTATAGTCAACAAACAAATCGTAAAAATTTATCTTTCAATAAAAATTTAAAGGTGATTGTATTTATAATTTATATTATGACTAGCAACTCATCCTCGCTTCGCTCGGGTTCGTCCCGTAGATTAATTCCCCATACAAACTTTCATCCCCATTCCCACCACCTTAAGGGATGACTTCCGGGATAAAAAATATCCTAGGTCCTTCCCCGGGTCTCAAACTATCTTCTTA